TTGCCTATGATTGATTTTTCCTTACAAGCCTTTGGGTAGCAACATCAACAGACTTGTCACCTTTACAAGCTCCAAGTATGCAATTCACTACAAAAAAAAAAAAAAAGAAAAGAAATAATACTACATTAGTCTATGATTAAAAAAATGCATTACATATAAACTTAAAAAAAATTGAATTTGTCATGCCCCAGAACCCAAATCTGAGGTGCGATAGACGTCATGCACTCGTGAGAGGGTCCCACAAATGCACAAAGCTCGGAACTTAATCAAATCACAATCTGATACCACAAAATCTGAAGATAAAAATCTTTAATATTACTCTGATATCATAAAATCTCCAATTAAAATCCAGTTTACAAGATCATGATCTATATCTAAAATGTATATCAATCTCGAAATGGCTAGCCCTCTAACTGTCACATCCCGTGGTTTCCTCGTCCTCGGTTTCGCTTCCTGAAATGGTGGATAAGGGAAAACTATAAGATAAACTCAGTAAGTAATTATGAACAGCCCGTAATTAAACTCATAGCATGCCAACAAGTACAATTACAAAAAACGGATATAGTACGAGAACGAAATAGACATCTCCTCTATAGGTCACAACCAATGTTATAAACCTCCCACTGACAGGCTACAGAAATTACTAGTGTATAATCCCACTAGCAGGATAACAGAAACGAACCGATTCTATCAGTAACATGTCGACATGTGCTAACGTTTAACCCCCACTAGCAGGGTTATAGAATAACATGACCATATCGGAGACAAAACAGGCAGAAATTAACAGAAAAATCACAATTAACAATCACTTTCAAATCATCAGGACAATCAATTAAATTTTAAGTAGGCATGCTCAATTTAATGAAAAGCTTAAAACTTTCACCTCAAATCAGTCATGCTCGAGTAAAACGGGTTTAGTCCCGCCACCACTTCAAAAACAAATCAAAACATGCTTTTAAAAATCAAAGGGCGTTACCATAATTTACTTACCTCACTCGCATAAAACCGAAGACTCGGTCACAATGCTAAACTGACAAAACGATCAGAAACCTAATCAAAATACCTCAGAATTAATACCGTACTACTACAAATTCAAACTGAAATTATCATGACAAATCCCTAATCACAATACTATTTCTATCAGTCTCCACATTTGTTCTTATATCACAAACTAAACATTTAAATCTCCGCTAATTGTTGGCCCTCGGTGTGTGAACAGTACCGTGAACAGTTCCATAAACAGTAACCACGATGTGAACAGTAACTCCAACTTCCAAAAATTGGCCAAACCACTAGCAAATTCACGGGACTTTCTCTCCAAAATCACACAGCAATCAATTAACACTCAATCACATAAATCCCACTTGAATTAATACTTAAACTTCATCCTAAAGCTACCGGAATTATCCCCAAATTTTCTATCAAATTCGGACAACAACATAGCCAGCAAACTATATGGATAATTTCAAGCTTAAATGGCTGTCACATACCATAATTCTCCAGCTAAAACCGGAGCTACAGATTGGGGGAGGCCGGCGGCACTCTGCAGGAGAAAATCATGCAATCCACGGGAAATTGGAGAAATCAAGAGGGTTTAGAGTCAGCCCAAGCCAATTCAAGCAAGAACAAGGGAATTAAGGGCTATTGCTTATCGAAAATTTAAGGAATTTGCACCCACAATCGGCAGGAGCAGCAACCGGACAGAGCAGATCCGGAAGCTTCCTGCAGGGGGGGAGATTTTTGGGTTCCAAATCAGGTTCTTGGACAAGAAAAGAAGGGAAAAATCAAGCTCTCTACCGGTTTCCTCAAGGCATGGCTGGGTTTCCCCTTTTTTTCTTTCGGGTGGCTGCAGCAAGGTCGAGAAGAGCAGAAGCATGCGAGGAAGAAGAAAGAAAGAAAGAAAAAAGAAAAAGAAAAGAAGTTGATCCTTATCTAATATTTTCCCCTTTTTAAGTCCCTCAACTTTCAAAATATTCACATTAGGCTCCAAAACAATCTTTCCTCATAAGTTAGTCCCTAACTTATATGATAAAATTCCCGAAAATTTGGAATATTACAGAATCAAACATGAAATTTAAAGATAATATTTATACATATTAATAAACATCATATTAAGTTCTTTTTTATGTCAAGCCACTTATATATCACCTAGTGTGTTATAAAATACCATATACATACACTATTAAATAATAAAAAAGTTTATATATGTTACTAATTAATCAATTACTATTATTACTCGCAGAAATGTATTTAATATTTTCTTCATTAGATGTAAAATAATCTTCAAATTCTTCCTCTTCCTTATTCTTTTCCTCAAATTCTCTATCACCATCCACATCCTCAAATTCTACATTAATGATAGATATAGTCCCATTAGTATGCTAAATAGGTTCATATAATATGAGATCAAACTCGATTAGTTAGGGAGCTGGAGGGTTATTATCTTGAAAAATAGGCTCTAGATCATCATATTGGTCCTCTTGCTCATCTGGCATCTCAAAAATACTTCTTACCCTGCATTTCAATGCAGCAACCCATCCCTTCCTAACAGAATTATGTGATCGATATGAAGTGTAATACACTTGTTTAGCTTGACCACAATTCTTCTTTCAATTCTTCACAATTCATTAGAATATAATACATTGCAACATTATACTCCTCTGTTGTCAACACTTGTTGTTGTTGTAGAGAACCAATTGGTTTTCTAGGATTATTGAATATTGAAAGGCCAATATTAACTAAAAGACCAACGCCAACAAGATTCTTGAGGATGCGATCACCTCTTGTCTCAACTTCTCCTTCAAAATAAAGCGAGATAAAGTATGAGATTTCACTCATTATGTAATTCTCGCATATTGATCCTTCTAGACGGGCTTTATTTTTCACTGAACTCTTTAATCCATTCATTCGTCTAATTCATGAAAAAAAATCTAAATAATTAATAAATTAAAAAAAATTATATTTTATATTCTAGATATAAAATATTTTTAAAAAAGTAGGTATTCTAATAATACCTCTCAAATGGATACATCCAACAAAATTAAACTTGTCCCCCCACCTTGGCTTCATATGAAAGGTGAATTGCTAGATACTCCATCAAATCAAAAAAATGAGGGAAAATTCTTTCAAGTTGGCAAAATTGTTTCTACAATCCTCACATGCCAAATCTCCATATCTGTAATACAAATAGTCGAAGAACATAAGGCTCTAAACAATTCACTGATCTCAGTAAGTGCTTCCCAAACTTGCTTTGGGAGAAAATCACGAAATGCGATTGGAAGGAGACTTTGCATGAATATGTGACAATCATGACTCTTCATCTTGCTAACTTTCACCTCGTACATATTCACACATTGAGAGATATTGAATGTAAAACCATCAAGAAATCTAAGATTCTTTAGCCATTGGCACACTGATTTCTTTGCTCCTTATTTAAGACATAAGTGGGCTTCAATTTTTTACCCGTATTAAAGCCTCTTTTCTGGTATACTGTCACACTCCAGAACCCAAATCCGAGGCACGACAAACGTCGTGCACTCATGAGAGGATCCCACAAATGCATAAGGCTCGGAACTAATCATACCACATTTGATACCATCAAAATCTGAATATAAAATTTCTAAAATTTCTCTGATATCATAAAATCTACAATTAAAATCTAGTTTACAAGATCATGATTTATTTCTAAAATCTGTATCAATCTCGAAATGGCTAGCCTTCTAACTCGTCACTTCCCGTGGTTCCCCCGTCCTCGATTTCACTTTCTGAAATGGTGGACAAGGAAAAACTATGAGATAAACTCAATAAGTAAAATATGGATAGCCTTTAATTAAACTTATAGCATGCCAACAAGTGTAATCACGAAAAACGGATACAGTACGGGAACGAAATAGACGTCTCCTCTATAGGTCACAACCAGTGTCATAAACCTCCCACTGACAGGCACACGATTTACTAGTGTATAATCCCCACTAGTAGGGTCACTCGTACGAACCGGCCTTATCACTAACATGTCGACATGTGCTAGCGTTAAACCCCCACTAGCAGGGTCACTAATAACATGACCACATCGAAAACAAAACAAGCAGAAGTTAACAAAAAAATCATAATTCACCAATCACTTTCAAATCATCAGGACAATCAATCAAATTTCAAGTAGGCATACTTACTTTTGCATAAAACGGGTTTAGTCCCGTCACCACTTCAAAAACAAATCAAAACATGCTTTTAAAAACTATACGAGCATTACCATAAATTTACTTACCTCACTCGCATAAAACCGAAGACTCGATTTCAGTGCTAAACTGACAAAATGATTAGGAACCTAATCAAAATATCCAAGAATTAATACCGTACCACGGATTCAAAAGTAAAATCACCATGACTACCTCCTAATCAGAATGCTATTTCTATCAATCTCCACATGACCAGACATCTCCAAATTTGTTCTTATATTACAAACTAAACATTTAAATCCTTGTTAATTGTTGGCCATTATCCATGAACAGTACCCATGAACAGTAACTGCACTTCCAAAATTGGCCAAAACACTAGCTAATTCACGGGATTTTTCTCCAAAATCTAACAGCATTCAATTAACACTCAATCACATAAATTTCACTTGAATTAATGCTTAAACTTTATCCTAGAGCTACCGGAATTCATCCCTTTTTTTTGCAGAATATTCGGACACACAAGGCAGCAAATAAATGGACAAATTCGGGGCTTAAACGGCTGCCACATACCAGAATTTTCCAGCTGCAAACCGGACCTAGCAGGGGGGAGATGCCGGCGGGAATTTCTGTAGGGGACTAACGGGAACTACCAAAATTCAAGAACCAAAACACAATTCAAAGTAAACCCACTTAAATCAAAGCTAAAAGGATGAAATCATGGCTGTTTCTTACCAAGAAAAATGCCCAGAATTCGCATCACAAGCTGCAGCTCGCGGACAGGGGAGGGGGAGAAACCGAGCAGATCTGGAAAATTTCCTGCAAGGGGAGGATTTCTAAGTCCTAAGTTGGTTCTTGAACAAGAAAGGAGGGAAAATCATCAAGCTTTACCGGTTTTTCTCAAGGAAATTGTTGCCGGCAACTTGGGGGGCTTTCGGGTTGCAACAGGGTCGGGAAGAGCAGAAGCACGCGGGCTGAAGAAAAAAGGAAGAAGAAGAAAAGAAATAAGCCATCCTTATCCAAATTTTCCTCTTTTAAGTCCCTCAACTTCAGACATTTTGGCTATTAAGTTCAAAACAATATTTTTTCACAATTTAGTCATTAACTTAATGCTAAAATATCACAAAATTTTGGGATATTACATATACAAAGACTTGGCTTATTGCAATACAATTCCATATCCATCCATGCCTTCAAGTTGCCTTTCGTCAATGGGTCATCCAAGACGGTGTGAAAGATATTATCAAAAAAGTTTTTCTCATAATGCATTACATCAAGATTATAACGAATTAAGTTTGTGCTCCAATAAAGAAGCTCTCAAAAGATACTCCTTTTAACCCAATTATGCCAATGACCAAATCCTTCAATCACCTACCTTTGGGATGGCTTCCCAAATAATATATTGGACAATTGTTGAATTTATCGATACATATCATCACCCAACAATCTTTCTGGTAGAGTAAGATTCTCTACATGGCTTTTTTTAAAATCCTTCCTTTTTCTTTTGAATGGATGATTGGGGGGTAAAAAACTGTCAATAACAATAAAAAAATGATATCTTCTAACCGTTCAACAGGTGGAATGCCTTAGAATTTTTCTAACAATACGAACATGACAATCGTGTGTTCCATCCAAAATAACATGTCATATCCAAGGAAGTCACTAATTGTCCACATCAATACTGCTCGCATAATGAAATGTTGATGCCCAAAGCTATCATATGTGTCACGCCTTAGAACCCAAATCTAGGGACGTGGCAGACACCGTGCACTCCTGAAACGGGTTTCACAAGTGCACAAGGCTCGAAACTTATTCAAATCACAACATCTCAAGAATAAAATCTACCTTACAAAAGGATGATAAACTCTAAAACTTATATCCAATTAGAATGGCTAGCCTTCTACCTTGTCACTCCCTTTGGTTTCCCCATCCTCAGTTTCGCTTCTTGAAATGGTGGACAAGGAAAATGAGGTGAGATAAAATATCTCAGTAAGTAAAAATATGGATAGCCCTTGGTAAAAATTTAAGCATGCCAAATAAACCATGTAAGCATAACAGAACTTTCAATGATAAACCATTCATGCATAATAAAACTCATCAGTAGTCTCATCTATAAGTCATGGCTAGTGTTTAACAAACTCCCACTGGCAGGTGTCAGTAATGGCACCAGTGTTTAACAACTCCCACTGGCAAGCGTCAATAATAACCAATGTTTAACCCCATTGGCAGGGTTACAGAAGTACCAGTGTTTAACAAACTCCCACTGGCAGGCATCAGTAATGGTACCAGTGTTTAACAACTCCCACTGGCAGGTGTCAGTAATGGTACCAGTGTTTAACAACTCCCACTGGCAGGCGTCAGTAATGGTACTAGTGTTTAACAACTCCCACTGGCAGGCGTCAGTAATTACCAATGTATTCGCCTATTGGCAGGCTTACAGAATGGACCGGTCATATCAGTAAACATGTCGACATGTGCCAGCGTTTACAAACTCCCACTGGCGGGCATCAGTAATCATGACTATATCAAAGACAAAACCATGCAGGATTTATAAAAAAATCCGTAATTCACAATCAATCTCCAATTTCAGAAATAAATCAAAAAATTTCCATGTGAGCATGGATTTAACAGAAAACTCAAAACTTACAAAATTCTCAGTTCATCAAAGCAGTTCAGTCAATTCCAAATAGGCATGCTCTATTCAATGCAATTGAAAACAATTTCATGTGGGCATGCTCAACTCGAGAAAAACAATGAAATTCTCCTTTTCATTCCAATCATGCTCAATTCCAGAAAATAATAATTTTCATAAAAATCATCAAAATTTTCATTTCAGTTTAATCACTCAGATGCTGATAAAATCAATTAAAATCAATTTAAACCTTGCCACCATCTCAAAAACAATTTAAAACATGCTTTGAAATTGAAGAGCTTTACCATAATTTACTTACCTCACTCGCACAGAATAAAAGGCTTAACCCAAGTGCTACGGTGACAGAACGATCAAAACCTAATCAAAATATCCAAGAATTAATATTCATATGAAACCACATATTTACTCATTTCTAATATTGCCGATAATTAACCCCCATAACGCGACATTTATTTCTTTACTTATTTATTTATTTTCTTCAAAATTGGGCATCACAACCGGATTGTGTATATATATACACAATTACATATATATATATATATATATACATACAACACCCATGCATATGGCTTCCAACTCCCGGGATAGAAAAATGGAGAAAATGGCTTGGCAAAACCACACTCACACACGGGATTTCTCTCCAGAAATCATAACAGCCAAATCAAGCTAAATTCTACATAACCAAGCTTAAAACACATTTAATTTACTGCCAATTCTTCCCCTGTTTCGACAGAAAATTCGGACAAGAAGGCAGTAGCTACATGTATAAATTTCAACTACTAAATGAGTAAAATTCAGCCTTGGAGAAGCTAGCACATACCAGAATTTCCAGCCAGTTGCAGAACTAGACCTGGTGGAAGGAAGAAACCGGCGGCAATTCTGCAGGGGGGCGGGCTACCTCAAAATTGAGGGAAATAAAAAAATTAGAATAACCCAACTTGAATCAAGGCTAGAAGGATGAATTCTTGGCTGTGGCTTACCCGAAAAAGCCAAGAATTTCGTGCCTAGCAGCATCGGTGGACGGGGGAGGAAAAGCAGAGCAGATCCAGAAATTTCTCTGCCGGGGAGAAGAAGAAGAGCAGGATGCGCGGATAAGGAAGAAGAAAGAAAGAAAAAAGAGAAAAAGAAAAGAAGCTGATCCTTATCTCATTCCCTTTCTTTTTAGTCCCTCAACTTTGGAGTTTTTAGCCATTAGGCCCCAAAACAATATTTCTCCCCAAAATAAGTCCCCTAACTTAATTGATAAAATTCCCAAAATTTTGGGATATTACAATATGTCTTGACCCCATTATACCAAAGTTCCTTTAATTCATCAATTAGTGGATGTAGCATGACATGAATGTTTTTTACTAAACTATGAGGGCCTTGTATTGTTAGAGAAAGAAAGATGGACTCCGGTTTCATACGTATTGCTGGAGGTAGGTTGTAAATAGTCAACAATACAGGCCAACATGAATATGGAGCTACTGTTTGTCCAAATGGAGTGAACCCATCTATGCACAATCCAAGCCTTACATTCTTTGGATCTAACCCAAAAGCGGGGTAGGTGTGACCAAAGTATTTCCATGCCTTAACACTGGCAGGATGCACATTTTTTTCAGATTCACCATCATAAGTATGGTACCATATCATGTGCTCAGTAGTTTTTCTACACATGTACAACCTTTTCAATCTAGGTGTAATTTAGAGATACCACAATGACTTCTTTGGTATATGCTGATTTTATTGCACATGTTGTCCCTATTTATAATGAGGTTCACCATATACTGGACATGCAATGTAGTTTTTGTTTTCATATTCACCATAATATAATAAAAGCAATTATTTACACAAATATCATATTTCTTATAACCTAGACTGAAGCGCCTAATCATCTTTTAAGCATTATAAAAATCTTTGGGAATCCTATCTCGATCATCTGGTTTAATCCATCTTCTACTACACTTTAACACTCAATCCCAATTAGCCATAACTCATATTATAAAGTATCTTTGCATTCATAAAATGAGACACCTATTTGAGTATTGTATCACCCTCATCACATCCATCGTAATGTAGCATGTTGGCAGCTTGCAAAAGATCAAAAAATTCCTTTGCATCTTCTATTGCCTCCTCAAAGATTGGCTCCTCACTAGCTAGTTCATTCATATTATATTCTATACCATGTGAACTCACTGCTTCCATAACCATCTCTCTAATTGGATCATTACTTGGTTCTTCCATCACAAAGAGAGCTGTACTTGAGGATTCTACCCATTGATGATGTTGTTACTTTTGCACTTGTTGTTCTCCTTTTGCAAGCTAGACTATATATTCATCCCTAAAACCTTTTTTTTTTGTCAAATGACATAGCACAATAACATAATGATGCCATTCTTGATTTATACATTTAGTGCACGAGCACCTAATCCAATTTCTACTACAAAATTCTGAATTGGACTAAGAAAATGCATAATCCACAAAGAACTCCACACCATTTTTGAATTCATCTGTAAAATAACCATTATCATTTAAACGATGATACATCCAACCTCGATCTCCCATTATAGGAAATATTTCCTTAAATTTATATTAAAAAAATTCATATCCCCACACAAATAATAAAACATCAAATTGAATAAATTGCTAAACATATTTCATAAACTAAAATTAAAAATTAATATAATTAATTAGTGCTATCATAATTTACCAATCAATTAATTAATAAAATATAAATTTACCAATCAATTAAGTAATTGATATAATCATAATTTACTAAACAATTAAACGATATAATCATAATTTACCAATCAATAACTAATCAATATGATCATAATTAATTACTTAATTAATTAATTAATATAATAATTTATCAATCAATTAAATAATCTAATCATAATTTATAAATCAATTAATTAATATAATAATTTATCAATCAGCTAAAATAATCTAATCATAATTTACTAATTATTTAATCAAACAAATCATAATTTACTAATCAACCAATTAATTAATTGTAATATCCCAAAATTTTGTGATATTTTAGCATTAAGTAAGGACTTTTGTGAGAGGAAATATTGTTTTGGGACCTAATAGCTAAAAACTACAAAGTTGAGGGACTTAAAAGAAAAGAAATGAGATAAGGATCAGCTGCTTTTTCTTTTTCCTTTTTTTCTTCCTCATCAGACCTGCAACCTACTCTTCTTCTTTTTCTCCCCAACAAGCGCCTCCCCAGCCGCCGACTTCCTCCTTGAAAATTGGTGACAAAGCTTGGATATTTTCCCCTCTTTCTTGTGCAAGAACAAGCTGTGGGACTTAGAACACTCCCTCTAAAGCTGGAAACTGTCGATCTGCTCTGTTCTTCCTTCCCGTTGGCAAGCTGTTGTGGGTGTGTGGGTGTGAAATTTTGGGTCTTTTCGATAAGAATTAGCCTTGAAACTCTTTAACCTTGATTTATGTTGGGTTCACCCTAACCTGGTTTGTTCTTCCAATTTTGGGTTAATTCCGTGAGTTCCCCTGTAGAATTGCCACCGGCCTCTTCCCCCTGCCAGGTTTGGTTCTGCAGCTGGAAAAATTTTGGTATGATGGCCATTCCTCTAAGCTCGAAATACCCACTTAATTGCTGCTTGTTGAAGTTTAATCCACTTAGTGCTACCCTTGTGCTGTCCAAAAATTATGTTGGAAGATAGGAGAATTTTGATAGCTTTAAATGGTGTTTTTAGTTTAATTTAAGTAGAGATTCGCTTACTTTAGTTGTTGTGAATTTTATAGAGAAAAATCCATGACTTAGCCATTTTTGGCCAAAGCCGTGGGTCTCCATGTTCTTGTCCGTGAGATTGGACAATTTTATAAATGTGTATATATATATATATATATATCGATGTGTGTATGCACAATTTGCTTTTAGTGCGCAAATCTTGGAAATAAAAATAATAATAAGGAAATAAATATGGCAGTAGATGGGGGTGTGAGTTAAGTGGTTTATAATTGAAAAATGGATTGTTTGTTGAATGTTATGTTCTTTTCCCTAGGAATCTCGTGTTTCAATTGGGAGGGAACAATGACGCTTTGGTTAGGTTCTTGATCCTTCGTTCACTTTAGCACTTGGATCGAGTCTTCGGTTTTATGCGAGTAAGGTAAGTAAATTATGGTAACGCCCTTCGATTTCAAAACATGTTTTAAATTGTTTTTGAGATTGTGGCAAGATTTAAATTGATTTTATTAGCATCGACCATGATTGATTTGAAATGAAATTGTTTTCATTTGCATTGAGTAGAGCATGCCTACTTGGAATTGACTGAACTGCCCGGCTGAACTGAGAATTTTGTAAATTCTGATTTTTTTGTTAAATCCATGCTCACATGGAAATTTTTAGGTTTATTTCTGAAATTTGAGATTGTTTGTGAATTACGGATTTTTTTGTAAATCCTGCATGGTTTTGTCTCTGATATAGTCATGATTACTAACGCCTGCCAATGGGAGTTTGCAAACGCTGGCACATGTCGACATATTTACTGATATGACCGGTTCATTCTATAATCCTACCAATGGGATGATATATTGGTAATTACTGACGCCTGCCAATGGGGGAATACATTGGTAATTACTGACAGCTGCCAATGGGAGTTTGTTAAACATTGGTAATTACTGACGGCTACCAGTAAGAGTTGTTAAACACTGGTTATTACTGACGCCTACCAGTGGGAGTTTGTTAAACACTGACCATGACTTATAGACGAGACTACTATTGAATTTTCTTCTACATTAATTGTTTGTCATTGAATGCTTTTTTATTGATTTACAAATGAGACTACTACTGAATTTTCTTCTGCATTAACGGTTTGTCATTGAACGCTTTGTTATTGAACACTTTGTTAGTAAACTGAATCTGATTCTGTATTAACGGTTTATCATTGAATGTTTTGCTATGTTAAACTATTTATTAGGCATGCTAAAAATTTTATCCAAGGGCTATCCATATTTACTTACTGAGTTATCTCATAGTTTTTCCTAACGGCGTCTGCCACGTTCCCGGATTTGGGTTATGGGGCGTGACATTAATAAATCAATATAATCATAATTTATAAATCAATTCTTAACATAATAATAATTTATCAATCAAGTAAATAATCTAATCCTAATTTACTAAGTAATTAATTAAAATAATCATAATTTACCAATCATTATTAAACAATAAAATCATAATTTATCAATCAACCAATTAATCAATATAATCATAATTTACCAATCACTTAATTAATATTATAATTTTTTCATAAACAAAATTTCAAAATTAAAATTTAGCAAAAAATTAGAACATATTTATAATAATGGAGACTTTCAATTTTGGTGAATCAAATTAAACTTCTGAATATGATGGATGAACCTACAAAAAAAAAAAAAAAAAATAATGAATTGAGAAAGGTAAAAAACATA